GCAAACGCTCCACCACTGAATTACAACCTTAGCTCTTTTTTTTTTTTTTTTTTTTTTTTTTTTTTTTTTTTTTTGGTTTTTTGAGATAGGGTCTCACTCTGTAGTTGAGACTGACCTAGAACTCACTATGTAGCCCAGGCTGGTCTCAACTCACAGCGATCTTCCTGCCTCAGACTCCTGAGTGCTAGGATTACAGGCTTGCGCCACCATGCCCGGCTCAGAACCTCAATTCTTAATCACTATTCAGTAGTCTCCCTCCAAACAACTTTGCTCTAAGTGTCGATTCCCTCTACTTTTTCTGATACTAGGATTGAACCCAGGACTTCATTCTGAGCTACGCTCTTCCCCCTCAGACCTTTTTAAATTTTATTTTGAGTTAGTTACACTAAGTTGCTAAATTGCCCATCCAGGCTGGGCTGGAATTCTCCCGGCTCAGCCTTCCAGAGTGTTAGAATTACAGGTATGTGCCTACCATGCCTAACTTTTTATCCTTTTTTAACTGGGGGAATTAAGTTTATCTAAATTCCAGACAGCTGGGCATGAAATAGTTAGGGGATTTCAGAGGTAAATAGAGAAGAGATGAGGCTGGGGAGATCAGGCCTTGAGAGAACATGCTAAGGTCTGTGGACTTGCTAACCCAGAGTCCCAACCTTTGTGCACAGGCCTGGGCATGTGCATTCCTTGCAAGCTCCCCACACCACACACTATTCCAGTACACTGCTGGGCAGGAACAATGTGGGTCAGAGGACAGGCTGACTAGTTAGGAATTTGATGCAGGTGGCCCATCACAGACGGAATGGCCGGAACTAAGTCAGGGCAGAAGAGATGGGAAGACCGGCCGAAAACAGAGGAATGACACAGCTCAGCAGAAGCTGGCAGCCAGCTAGTGATGGGAGGAAGGGTCCTGAGGCTCTCCAAGGATTTCCCCTGGTATACAGAGGTTACAAGTAGACCGTTAATTAAAGCAAATGAAGATAGGAGAAGTGAGGGTCAGAAAGTGAGTCACAAGATGACCTCAGACTTCAGGTTTATTATACACCACTCTATAGAAAAGTTTTGATGTTTTCGGACATAAGTCTAGGCTCAGAGTTGGGCATGTGGGCCAGGCAAGGTGGCACACACCTGTAATCCCAGAATTTGGAAGGCTGAGGCAGGAACATCAACACAAGTTTGAGCTAGTCTGGGCTACATAGTGAGTTCAAGTCCAGTTGGAACTACATAGGGAGACCCTGTCTCAAAAAGTAAAACAAAACCAGGCATAGTGGCTCATGCCTATAATCCCAGCACTCGGGAGGCTGAGGCAGGAGGATGGCTGTGAGTTTGAGACCAGCCTGGGTTACGGTAGTGAGTTCCAGGACAGTCTCAACTACATAGTGAGACCCTGACTCAAAAAAACCAACCAAATAAACAAACAAAACCAAAAAATTGCCAGGCGTGGTGGCTCACGCCTGTAATACCAGCACTCGGGAGGCTGAGGCAGGAGGATTGCTGTGAGTTCGAGACCAGCCTGGGCTACATAGTGAGTTCCAGGTCAGTCTCAACTACATAGTGAGACCCTGTCTCAAAAAACCGGGAAAAAAAAAAAAATCAAAACAAACATACAAACTCTAGGCTCAGGAGGTAATGCTTCGGTGATTTTTTCTAAGCTTTGATTCCTGTTATAGCAAAGACAATGGATGTGTCTTGAACATTTAATGGTACTCCTCTCTTTATTTTTTTGGTGCTGGAGAATAAACTGAGGGCCTAGTGCCTGCTAAGCATTTTACCATTGAGCTATATATTCCTAGCCCTCTAGTGATGCTTCTCAATAGAGTAAGAATACTTTTAAGTGACCTGATTTAATAACAATTAATAAACAGCTACCTTCCCTTTAAATAGGTGCCACCAACACTTCTGATTTCTTTTTTATTTTTTTTGATTTTTTGAGACAGGGTCTCACTATGTAGTTGAGACTGACCTGGAACTCACTATGTAGCCCAGGCTGGTCTCAAACTCACAGCAATCCTCCTGCCTCAGCCTCCCCCGTGCTGGTATTACAGGCGTGCACCACCAATGCCCCGCGTGATTTCTTTTTTTTGAGATAGATTCTTACTGCGTTGCCCAGGCTGGCCTTGAACTCGCAATCCTCCTGCCTCAGCCTCCTGAGAAGCTAGGACTGCAAGGATATGCCAGCACCATTCCTGGTTAACAGCGTCTTTTGTGTGTGTGTGCACGAGCATGTGTGTGTGATCTTCTGAAGGTCTCACTATGTAGTCCAGGCTGGCCTTGAACTCACTATGTAGCTAGGCTGACCTGGAACTCATAGCCATCTTCCTCCCTCAGCTGCCCAAGTGACAGGATTAAAGGCATATGCTACCCTTGCCAGCTAACAGGTTTCTTAGATTTCAAACAAAGTTAGGAAAAGCTCTACTATTCTGAAACAAATGTTTTTGTTTAGAATATACCTCAAAGAGGTGTCTCAAATGTTGCAATAATTAAGTATATGATATTCTCTTTCCTAGAACCTGTTTCAATTCTTTTTTTGATGGGGAGGGGGTTTGAAACAGGCACTATTTAGTTCAGCACGGCCTTGCACTCGCTACATAGCCCAGGCTGGTCTCAAACTCGTGGTGATCCTGAGTGCTGGGATTGCAGGCGTATCCAATTCTTTTGATAGAAAATACTTCCCCAAAAGGATAAAATGGAAAAGCCTTTGTAAATAGGGAAAGGGAAGAGGGTAGAAGCAGGGTAGAGAGGGCAGGGGTAAGGGGAAAAAATAACCAAGATACATCATGTAAAGGTACAAGATCCCAATGATGAATGTAACTGTACTGTATACCTAACATGTACCAATACATTTAATGAAAAAAAAATTTCCGTGGGCAGGGTGGCACATGCCTGAATCCCAGCACTTGGGAGGCTAAGGCAGGAGGAGCACAAGTTTGAACCTGGGCCACATACTAAGTTCATGAGCCATTTAGTGAGACCCTGTCTCAAAAAAACCAAAAACAAATTAAAAGAACAGAACAGAAAAGAAAAATATTTACATGTAGTGGAAAGATTAAAGGATTTGAGTCTTGGAGCCAGAGATTTGGTGCCTCATCTCTTCCTACCACAGTACTATTTCACTTTAGGCAACTCTCTCCATCTACCTAAACCTCATAGTTGCCTCATTTTAAAAATAAAGTATTATCACCATCATCATCATATGACAATACACTAACGTTGACTAAAAACAAAACAAAACAAAACAAAAAATCATATAGCCGGGCGTGGTGGTGCACGCCTATAATCCCAGCACTTGGGAGGCTGAGGCAGGAGGATCACCGTGAGTTTGAGACCAGCCTGGGCTACATAGTGAGTTCCAGGTCAGTCTCAATTACATAGTGAGACACTGTCTCAAAAAACCAAAACCAAACCAAAACAAAACAAAAAAATAACTCATGTAAATAACCTTTTACATTTAATTTAATAAATACTCAGTTAATATTACATATTTTTTTCTGAGCTCCACTTTTTTTGGAAACGAGTAACTTAAAAACCATAAATCCCCTCTCACACTCTAGTGCCTGGGGATTCCAAACTGGGTCAACTGGGCTAGATTAGGGGAATGCCAGAATAAATTAGCTCAAGTTCCCTAACCTTAAGGAACTCAGAACCAAGCATACAAGAGACAAGTCTGGCCATGCCTATGATCCTAATACTTGGGAAACTGAGGCAGGAGGGTGGCCTTGAGTTCTAGGCCACCTGGGCTACATGAGTTTAAAGCCACCCTTGAATTACATGTTTAAAGCCACCACTGAATTATGCAGTGAAAACCTGTCTCCAAAAAGAAAAAAGAAAAGAAAAAAGACAAGTCTGTAACACAAATCAGATTCTGACAATGTTCAAAGAAACAAAGAAAGTGCAGTGGCCAGGAGTGGTGGCACACGCCTGTAATCCCAGCACTCGGGAGGCTGAGGCAGGAGGATCACTGTGAGTTCGAGACCAGCCTGGGCTACATAGTGAGTTCCAGGTCAGTCTCAACTACATAGTGAGACCCTGTCTCAACAAACAAAAAAACAAACAAACAAAGTGCTGCGGTCAAAGGAAGAAACAACTCATTCTGAGGGGACTGAGGGCGGAGTAGCTGGGACTGGAGTTGAACCTAGGACGTGCCTGGAAGGGAGAAGTGGGGAGAAGGTAGCCTTTCTCAGGTACACATGCAGAATGTGCTGAGAGACCTCGTGACAAATGAGTACCATCAGGAGGTCCGTCCTTCCGTCCTTTCTTTGTACCAGGAATCAAACTCAGGACCTAGAGCTTTGCCAGGCAGGCACTGTGCCACTGAGCAAGAACATCCCAGCCCAGGAGGCTTTACTCTGAAGTCATACAGAACTGGTCACAGCTCACTCTCTTCTTCCTTGCTGGGTACCTTAGGGCAAGCCATCAAATCTCTGCATTCCCTTTTCTCACCTACAAAGTGGGGACAATAGGGCCAGGGATTTGGCTCACTGGTTCCGCCACCTGCCTCCCAAGTGCAAGGGCCTGAGTTCAATCCCTGGTACCAAAAGAAAAACAAACAAAAAAACAGTGTATTCAAAGTGGGGACGATTAATGTCTACTTCAAAGGGAGGATAACATGATCATGAATATGAAGTACAGAGCTGTAGAGTAAAAGCTGGAAAAACTGGCTGTTGGGCTTAGGTGTAAGAGTAGTAGGAAACCAAAGGATGGGAGATAATACTGAACAGGTTGTTTTCAGCCCAAGAAAGTTCTTGCAAGCCAAGAGGTTACAATTAGCTGCTGAGGACTACAACTGTACACATTTTTAACAAGAGGGGAATAATTAAATATCTGCTTTAGAAAATGAACTCTGGGCCAGGAGTGGTGGCACATGCCTGTAATCCCAGCACGGGGGAGGCTGAGGCAGGAGGATTGCTGCTGTGAGTTCGAAACCAGCCTGGGCTACATAGTGAGTTCCAGGTCAGTCTCAACTACACAGTGAGACCCTGTCTCAAAAAACCAAAAAAAAAAAAAGAACTCTGGTGTCCATGAAGGGTAGTCAAGGAAGGAGAGGGCACCTTGACAGAGGAGGGCGGATGGGTTCCAGTAATTTCTGTGAGGTCAGGAAGCAAAGCAAGCTCTCACAAAATCTTTAAAGCTAAATCCACAAGGCTTAACGGATGTCAGCATTTGGTGAGTAGAGAAATGAATAGTCCTCTCATCTAAGTGAATGGCACTGTCACGGGCAGAAAAGATGCAGAGGGATCTGGAGTTTGCTGGTTGCTCTTTTGTGCTTACTTCCACTCCAGTTTTATAAAGTTAAACGTCCTCTCCAGTCCTTACTGAAAAGAAAGGAAAGTTCTCAGGAAAGGAGCGCTCAGCGGTTTCAACTCCCAAGTTCAACGTCTAGTTCTACCAAGAAGGGTCTACCCAGCACGCACCTCCCCGGCTTTCTCTTCCCCCAGGAACTAGCTTCTGTACCTTTATTTCCAGCAGAGTTGAAGCTCACCTATGCATACTACATGGTCGCCGACTCACAAACGCTGGCTGGGTCGATCCCCTAGGACATCAGCAAACCCACTAGTGAACGAACTGAGTCAATTTAGCACGTGTATTCCTCACCAAAGGAGCCAGTCAGTGAGAAGGCACTACACTGCGTCCAAGAGCCAAAGTACGAGCACCAAGTTATTCTTATAAACTTTGGCCTGTTTTCATTCGAAAGACCCCTCGCCCCCACCCCCCCATGGCACTTTGCTTCAATAAAGCAGAGAGATCGAGATGACTAAGTGGTGGATAGGGAAGAAGACGAGGAAGGAGAACCGAGCTGCGAGAGGGGCCGAACCCACGCCTTCCTGGAGTCAAACTTGCCGGCCGTGTGACTCAAGGCGACGGTTTTGTCAGACTCAGCGCAATTTCCAACGACCCACCAACAAACAGACCTCACTTCGGTCGCCGGCCTTCTCCTCCTTCCCTACCCGGCCCAGGGCGGGGCGGCTCCGCGGCGCGGGATCTCCACTGGGG